AAAAAAGGTTTCTGTTAAATTAGGGAAGTAAAAACCCCCTTCAAGTCATATCACTCTTACCCGATCTGTCTGTGTTTTCACAATCCCCAAGGTCAAATCCTGGTGCTCTGGAGAGATAATAGGGATAGATGGAATTTTGGAACCCAAGGCCTATCAGCTGTCCTGAACAGACTCCAGATAACCAAAGAACCCCTGCAGCGAGGGCTCTTCGTGGGACACAGCAGGACCAGAAGTGTAGGAGCAGCAGCAGCACCTACTGAGAGTGAGCCACCCCTCCCTGTGCCATCCCACGTGGAGACGGGCAGGACAATGAGTCCCAGGGCCATCCCAGCTGGGATGCCACCCGCAGGACCTGCCGGGGATAGGCAGCAACCCACAGGGGGTTCCACTTCACCCAGCTATCCCAGCACGTGTTGGGGACAGGCAGCATCCCTGCAGGGCGGGGTTCTACCTTCCCCAAGACAACAGACAGATGGGGCAGCACCCTAAGAAGACAGCAGGTTTTTCTTACCAAGCTGTCCCAGCATGGAGAAGACAGTGAGTTCTCCACTCCCAAGGTGTGCCAGGATGGAGAGACCAGCAGCTGCCCGGGCTGTCCCAGGACGGAGTGGCAGCATCCCACCGCCACCCCTTGTCCCTCCCAGCACTCACCCGCAGTCGGGGGCCGGACACCAGCGGCAGTCGGGGTCGGCGGCGAGGCAGCGGCGGAGCATGAACTCCTCGTACTTGGCCACGAGGTGCGGGGAGTCGCGGAGCAGGCGGCGGATGTCGGCGGGGTTGAGGCGCTCGCTGCACTCGGGGCAGCAGATGTTGACGCGGGACTCGGTGATCTCGATGCGCAGGTACTGCCGCAGGCAGGCCCCGCACGACCGGTGCGGGCACGACAGCAGCCGCGGCGCGTTCTCCGCCGGCTGCCGCACCAGGCACAGCGGGCACTCCAGCTCCTCCTCGCCCTCCGGGACCACCGGAGCCTCCTCGGGGGGCGGCGGTGGCGGCGGTGGCGGGGCCGGCGGGGCGGCGGGGGGCGGCGGCGGAGCGGCCGGGGGCGGCTCGGCCTTGGCGCGGCGGCGGCCGCCCGCGGCGGAGGCGGCGGCGGCGGAGAAGACGCTCTGGAAGGAGAGGCGGCGGCGGCGGCCGGGCTTGGGGCACTTGGCGGCGGCCGAGTGGATGGATGAGGAGCGCGGCGACTCGGAGTCCCGCTCGGAGCCCATGGCGGCGAGGTTGTGCTCGGCGGTGTCACAGGCAGCGGGGTCCCAGGTGGAGGCAAGGGATCACTCCGAGGGCTCCGGGCGCCGCGTCCCGCCGGGCGCTGCCTCGGCCGCGCTGTAACGAAAGCGGCGCCGGGGCTGGGTGAGCGCGGCCCCGCCTCGTCCCGCCCCGCAGAGGGCGCGGCCGCCGCCGCCATTTCGGTTGTGGGCAACGCCCCCGGGCAGCCCCGGAGCCCGCGGTGCCCGCCCGTGTCCCCGTCCCGCGGCTGCGGTGTCTGTAAGTGGCTCTGGAGCGTCTCAGCCAGGTAGAGCTGAGTGTCCGCTCCGCTTCTGGGATCCCCTCAGTGCCCCGCGCCCCTCAGCGCCTCCATCTCCCCTCAGCGCCATTGCTCCCCTCAGCCCCTGCTCCCCTCAGCGCCTCTATCTCCCCTCAGTGCCTCCATCTCCCCTCAGCGCCATTGCTCCCCTCAGCCCCTGCTCCCCTCAGCGCCTCCATCTCCCCTCAGCCCCTGCTCCCCTCAGCCCTTGCTCCCCTCAGCGCCTCCATCTCCCCTCAGCGCCATTGTTCCCCTCAGTGCCTTCTCTCCCCTGGGTGCCATTGTTCCCCTCAGCATCCCGGTTCAGTCAGCATCCCTGGCTCCCCTCAGTGCCCCCATGGCCCCCATGCCACCCCTGTCTCCCTTCAGCCCTCCATTTCCCCTCAGCACCCTGATTCCCTCACTGTCCCATCTCCCTTTGCACAACACTCTCAGGCACATGGTGCCATTCCTGGGCTGTCCTGTATAGAGCCACGAGTTGGACTTGATGGTCCTGATGGGTCCCTTCCCACTCAGCTTATTCTATGATTCTCCCTTCAGCTTTACATCTTCTCCTCAACATCCCTCCCTCAGCACTGCCATGGCTGCCTCACACAAGGCCTGGAATGGGGGGAATCCTCTGGCTGAAATGTACAGAAAAAAAGGTTTCTATTTTAAAAAAATTTGGGGTAGTTTGCTTTTAAACATCTCTCGTAGGAGAGGGGTGTCTATAACCTCAGAAACCTCTCTAAATCCATCCATCCCAGTGCAGCACCTTGTCCCCCACTGTGTATCCCTCCTTGATAACATTTCTGAAGATCACATAAAGATTTACTCAGCTGGGAACTCCTCCCTGAGTGCCAGGTTTAGAGGCACTGAAACTACAACCCACATTCTCACTGCACTCATGCAGAAAGTTAAAAGCCTCCGCTTCCTTCCAGGGTTCCCCCATGCCCAGAGGGGTCTGCCAGCCTCATATCCCATCCAAAGGCAGATAAACTAACAGGAAAGATGCTGTTTCTTATTATGCAGGGGAGGTGAAGCAGAAAGATCTGCGAAGAGTGTCTACGAAGAGCCTCTTAAATCAGCACAGAAGGAGATGCCTTGCCTTAGACTGTCAGCTCTGACTGGACAGACTGTGGTTATTCATGTGACAAGTGTGGCTCCATCACTGTCTCCCAGCTATCACCATTTCTGAAATCGTCTCTCTCAGCAAAGCCTGTCTGCATGATTATTATTACCAGGATCCTTCCAAGAGCTGGGATGGGAACAAGGAACCAGGATTTCAGTGCTGGTGCTGCTGGATTGCTGTAGGCAAAGACCCCAGATCTGTGGGCACAGTGGGGATAATGATGACACTTCGCTGTCTGGTGGGTGAATGAAGGCACAGAAGGAGTAAATCACCTGCACAAATGAAGCTTCCTCCCCTCCTAAATGCCCTGCAGCAATCCTGCTTTTCCCTGTACTCCTTCTCCATTAATTCTGTGCCTCCCTTACTGCTTATCCCATGATGTCTGCTACACCCAAGTCCTTCCTCAGAGATTGCATTCCCCAGACATTTGTCAGCTCTTCACATTCCTGCCACAGCACACAGGGCTTTGGACCAGCTGGAACTTTTGGACCACACTTAGGTTTGGCCTCAGAGTGGTAAATTCCTGCCTGGGATCAAAAACCCTGTTAATTATCAAGTTAATTTGGCAAGGGCCAAACAGCTCTGCTCCAAGAGAAGCAGGGATGCTTCGAGGGTGTCTGTGGAGCACATTTTCCCTGAGCAGTGAGTTGCTGAGCTGTAGTCCTTTGGGCAGGCATGAAGATTTCCCTGACACTTGTGGTGTGGAGCTCCTAGAGGAGAAGGATCCTTTTCCTTGGGAAAAGAGGGCCAGATGAAGAAGGGAGAGTAAAATGAGATTATATTGAAATTAACTACTCGCGTCTGAGACAAGCCAGGTATGAGGCATTTTCAAATGGCTGTCACTGCCCATCTGTAGCAGAGACTGTCTTGCTTTGATGATTTCATTAGAAAAATCACACTCTTGACTGAAATAGAGAAAGCTGCACAGGACTCGTGTGTGGGACGGATCTCCCAGACAGCGCTGTGCCAGCTCAGCCCTACGTCCTCTGCAGCACAGAAGCACAGAAACTCTAATTGTGGGAAGGTTTCAGCTCAAAAGCTAATGTGAGACAGGCCTGAATTACTAGTAGTGCAGACACAGAGAGGCAGAGAGCAAAACCATCTGGAGCTCCTGGGGAGAGGATGGGCTGATGGGGCAGAAATTACTCTTCATTGCCTTATATGAGGAATCACAACACCAGCAAGGCTGGGGGAGGCTGGGGTAAATCCAAATTACTTCAGAGCCATCTTCCCTGCTCCCCAACTGTGCAGAGCTCTTGCCACTGGTTATGTATTTGAAGGAACTCAGTGCTTTCATGGAGCTCTGAGACATAGATTTCCAACTGTCCAGACCCTGCTGTGGTCCAGATATCCCAGCTACTTAAAAACAAGTTCTCCATGGCTGAGGTGTTTCTCCATGGCGAATTTCCACAGCCCCTGCCAGGAGCAAAGGCTCCTGCTCAGCGTGTTCCTGACTGGCAGTTTAAACCCGGTAGTTTGTTTTGATTCAAAAAAAAAAAAAAAAAAAAACAAAAAAAACACCCTCAGCTCTGTAATTTTGAAAGTCAGTGCAAGGCCAGGTTTATGGGGCTTTCAAAAAAAAAAAAAAAACAAACCAAAAAATCAAACCAAAACAAACAGCCGGGAACTGGAAGGAGAGGGCAGGAAAGCAAGCTGCCAGGGAGGAAAGGAAAGAGGCTGATTGGAAAGTCACCGGATTGGGAGTGAGATCAGATCAGCCCCTCCCCGGAGCTGCGGGGAAGCTGCCACCAGCCTGACAGTTAAACTGGGGGATATTTGAAAAGATAAACCCAAAACAAACAAACAAAAAAGACACAGAAGGCGGGGGCGTGGGGGGGGATTCAAAAGCTGCAGCGAATCATTCTGCAAATCCCAGCTCCAATAGGCAAAATTTGCTTTTGCTTACGCTGGCAGAAAGCTGGAAGATTGCTGACTTCCGACCTCGCTGGATTTGGCACTAGGCGACTTTTAAAGCTGCCTGAAAGCGCCGTATCCCCCAGGAAGGCTTCCAAGGGAGAAAGCTTTGTCCAGACACCGATCGGAGCCACCCCACACTGCCCAGTGCCGTTCCCAGCCTGGATGGAGCCACCGGGGGAGGCTGAGCTGGGCTGGAGCTGCTTTTGGGAGGTATTTTTCTTTCCAGAGAAATAACCTCGTCACCCACACCCCAAAAACCCCCATGCAAACAGAGTGACAGCTCTGTCGCTGTCGAGGAGGAAGAGCCTCTGGTGATGTAATGAAAATTCCCCTTGGTAATTCAGAGAGTGAAAGCAGAGGCTGGGCTGCTGGGAAGGGATTGCGAAACTCAAAAGACTGCACGGAGGAACTGGGGTGTGCCTGGCCGGGAATGTCACTGCGGTGGGACACTGGCAAAGGAGGCACTTTGGGTTTGCAGCCGATAAAATTGAAATCCCAGCTCTTACCACATCCCTTTGCTCACCTTTCCCCCCGTTCCTGATTAGCCAAATATCACTGATACGGGAAATACCTGCCTGTTGCTCTCCTCCCTGGCCTGCAGGACACAGGAGGTGTTGAAACAGCTGGTTCAGGACACAAAAGATCCAATCTGCCTTAAACCTCTGGAATGCAGGCACTGAGGTGTGAACCCCTCCTCGGCACTGACTCTTTTCTCTAGAAGTCCGTGGGTCTCCTCAGGGTTTCTCCCATTTCACCAGGCAGGGATGAGGGGTTATTCAAGGGGCACAGGCTGCATTGCAGAGCAGATGGAGTTCTGAGGAAACCCAGCTCATGTTGCTGCTTGCTGATGAAATGCAGGAAGGAGAGGAGCAGTCTTACACCAGGAATTCTTCCTGGTTTTTGCACAGGGACACTCAGGAATGACTCAGCTCTGGTTTTGCTGGGCAGGGTGAGACCTTTGGCACTATTAAGGTGGGACAGCCAGGGCTGTTAGAGGGATCCAGGTACATCACGATGCCAAAATTCAGATGGCAGTTCCAGGGGTCTCTCTGCTGAGGACCCACCCATCTGAGATGTGCTGCACTCACAGCATCTGGAGGAAGATGAGAGGGACAGACAGACCCAAGCAGCACAGAGGTCGTTTTAAACCTCTCAGAAGTGCAATGTGAGGTCTCCCCGCCTTGGAGCGTTGTTCCAGGGGCACGAGGGCTTCCCCACTCGTCTTTTAGCTAGGAGTCCCAGCTCCAGAGCAGGGATGTCAATCTTGGCTTGCCCCAGGCATTCAGCGAGGCTTAACCCGGAGAGCCCGGAGCTGTGTGACCAGGGACGCTGAACACGTTCGAGGGGAGCAGCTGTGACTGCAAGAACTGAAGCTCATTTGGGTCATTTTCTGCCAGGGCCCCGGGGAAGCACTGGGTCATAATGACATGCACTGTGATCGTTTGTCAGATGGAGATGTCATTAACAGCCGATCATGTCTCTCCAGGGAAGACACCCGCGGCTGGGGAGGGCTCTCCCCAGTGTGCACATCTCTGCCTCTATCCAGTTAGTTCGTGTTCTATTTGCCTCTCCTGGTCCCCTGAGATATGTTCAGGGAAGGAAGGAGATGATTCTGCTTGTCTCCTATTTTCTCTGCTGGACTTAACAAGGATTGACGTTCTTTTAAATGAAGAGGGAGAGGCAGGAGATGGGAGCCTTGGGATGAGAAATGCAAGGCTCTTTCAAGAGGATTTGTTCTGCTTTAGTCTGTGGTTACACCTCCTCTCCCCTCCATCTCCCCATCCCACTCTGCTCCCTCCTAACACCCACACGCACGGCAATCTTCCACTCCCTGCTGTGACTTTCTGGGGAAGAGGCTGTCATGTGAAATCCTGGGGAGAGAGTTACCACATGGAGATCTCTGAAAGCATCAGAACAGGCCTTGCAGAACAGGCCGGCAGCCAGAGGAACGCTGTGCTCCCCCTCCCCGAAATCCTGAGCTCTCCTCTCACGGATGGGAGGTGGGGGGAATCATCTTGGAAGCTTGGGAGCCGCCTACACACATGGCAAATCTTGTCAGCAGCTGATAAAAGAGGTGGGAGGTGGGGAAATTTCGAGGGGGAAGAATGTGGAGGCTCTCATACCCACGTAGCTCCCCCATCCTGTCTCCTGCAGGGCTCCCACAGTCGGGATGGCCACGGGCTTGGCCCTGTTGGTGACACACGTGCAGTGAGGAGAGACCCCGAAAAGGGACTCGGATGTACTTCAGCAATGACGCAAAGGTAGGGATCATTAGGCAATTACTTATAATAGTAATGTGACATGCTTTTCCCCTCTGCAAAAAGCAGCATTTCCTTTTGTAATAAAAGCACAGGCTGTTCCGTGTTCTTTATTCACCTCCACGCTCGCTGAACGGCTTTGGGGATAGAAGTGACAATGATCCCTGCTCTCAAGTCACTCTCACCACTGACCTGCTACCCTTAATGATGGGGGATTTATTACTGAGAAGGTTTAGCACTGTAGGGTGCTGCCATCAGGATAGGGCTGGCCAGATCCCTACAACAGGAGGAAGGAGCCAGACTCCTTCCTTACCTGAGTCATTAAATAGACAATTAAGTGTTTGGTGTTGGCATAAACACAGGCAAATTAGTCACTGGAGAAAACCTCAGTGCCTGTGATGGCTGGCTGTGGTTTGAAGGTGGTGGTGACAAACATCTCTGACAACAGAAGGCCAACAGGCACAGAGATGCCATGGCATGGCATGCTTCTGGCTCTAGAGTATCTCCCTGATGCCAGCTGGTTTTTGGGATGCTCAGCATCTTGCAGGACATGAGCAAACCTGGCCACAGCAGAGGCAGCAAGATCAAGGTGAAATCTTCAGGAGGAACACTCATGGAGAGCTGAGGAAGAGTTTGTCCTGCCCTTCAGAGAGCAGATGCACAAGGCAGAGCTCTGGCATGGACTTGGATTTCTGCAAGGAGAACAGAGTGAGGCACTGGCCTGGTTTCCAGGAAAGGAGAACAGTGTGTCACACAGAAGGCATTGAAAAGACCTGAGGCTTCTGCCTCAGCTTTTGGTCTTACTCTTGCAGACACGTGGGTGCTTGGGAGTTCAAAAGGCTGAACTGGAGGCTGTCCTGCACCTGGCAGGAGCTGTGGGCTCCTCCTGCAGAGCTGCTGGAGCAGAGACCACAGAGGGAGTCCCTGTGTCTGCTGGAGATCCCTGCTCAGCTCAGTGTCAATTCCTGCAGCGCTGACCTTTGAGTGGGACTGTGGGAACGCGAGGTGCACAGGAACGTTTGGTACAAGGCACTATCTCTAGTACCCAGAGCCCCAAAAGACACTGACAGCCCTTCAGCAACATCTCAAAACCTCACAGGATCTCTGACATCCTCTCCAGCTGGTGCATCTCACAGCACAGGTAGGGCTGGGCACACCACACGTTTCCTATAGCAGATCCACCCATTTCCTATTTTCTGCAGACATGACAACTAGTGAGTTAATCCTGCAGGCCATAAACTAAGCTGTATTAGCAGACACCATCTGTCCTTTTTCATTTGCTGATGCACGACCTATTTTGCTGTGTAGTGGAGCTGCAGTTTTGGGGCTTGCATGTTACAGTGTCCCTGTTGCCAGGGCATAATCCACTGCTCACAGGGACCTACCAGTGGGAGAAAGCTCCAGTGAACTGAGCACCACTGGGACCTGCTGCCATGGGCAGGTGGTGGATAAAGCCTGTCTCTGTTGCTGCTTGGCCTCCAAGGAGGTTTGGGCTTCAATCCCACGAAGCACCTGGGAAGGGCAAGGTCTCAGCAGAACTTCCAAGGAACTTCCAAGAGCATAACTGCCCTCAGCAGGGTCTTCTGAAGCCCCTTCAGCAATGGCCGTATCCACATTCCCTCACTTGTCAGGAGGTCATGGAGAGACCTGAATTCTCATCCCAAAGTGGGGTTTATGGGAGCAGGCTCAGCACTCCAGCCAGGCTGCTCTGGCCTGGGGTAATTCCTGTGCTTTACAGAGCTGAGCAATGGCCATCACACCAGCACAGGGAAAGACAGGAAGGGAACTCTTCCTTTATCCCTCTGGTCATGTCTTGGAGCAGTGTGGTGACCCTTGTCTGGGTACAGAAGTGCAGACATTGTGAAAGGTCATAAAACCATCAGGATTTTCCAAGCCAGTTATTATTTGACTTTACCAACTCTTGAGGCAATTCCAAAGGTTAGTGCCTTGTTGCAAGAAGCCTCCTGAATTTACCAACTTTTAATTTAACTCAGCAATGGCAGCAGGAATTTTCCCTGAGTTCTGAAACAAAAAGCCAGGAAATTCTGTGGCTGTGTGCTACAGAGTCAGGAGGGAGCTGAGTGCAGGGCTGGGTGCTAACACACGTATCTGTTTCTCAGAACCGGGATGATCACTGCTCACTGACCTCTGGACTCCCAAAACCAGCCAGAGGATTTTCAGCTTCCTGCCTCACTGCACAAAAGCGGAAGAGAGGGTGGAAGGAATTATTCAGACTGACCTTGGCCTTACCCAGAACCACTTCTTTCTGGCTTGGCTCAATTGCATTATTTGGGTTTTCCAAAGAAACTCCCAAGTTGCTGGCTAGGATGTGGCCCAAATCCACCCACTTCTGTGCCATCAGCGTCCTCTGAGTATCCAGCATTGACAGAAAGCTGGCCTGGAGTCATTTCCCTTCCTTGCTAGTCTTGCTCTTTTTTCTTAGAAACTGACTTAACCTCTCAACCCTGGGGTTTCCTACCCTGAAATCTGTGGTAACTCCTGCAAAGTCTCGCTGCCTGCAGAGGTGTTTGACCCCTCTGCTGAGCTCTGTACCCTCAGCTTCCAGCAGCAGCAAGCCCAGCTTGGCTCCTTCCTGCCTTCCCTAAGCTTTGCCCGGTGTTCCTTTGTGCTGTGGACACTCTGCATCAGATGTGACAAGAAATAATGACTTTCCACAACATGCCCTGGTGTTCCTGCAAGCAGTGCCCCCCATCCTGCACTGGGAAAAGCAGAGCTGGTGTCAGGATGTCTGTGCTAGGAACAGACTGACACTTTGGGGTGTAAATCCCCACTGCGCGAGACTGATCCCAAATTTTTTTCTTTCTCTCTTTGAGCTTTGGGAGGAGAACTGGCTCAAGAATTGTATTGATCTCAGTCCAGGAACAAATAATACTCCCCTTCCACAGCCCACAGCCTCTCTCTCCTGTGTGTCATGTGAGGAAGAGGAGCAGGGAAGGGCAGTGCTTTGCCAAGACTAGAACGTACCCAAAACTGTGACTGCTGTCAGGAGGTGGGAAGAGGAAGAAAGAGCCCGTGCGGTCAGCCCTGGAAAGGGCAGTTCCTGCTGAGAACTGCCTGGGGAACATTCCCGTTTTCATAACCAGCAACAGCTGTGAAAAGGGGAAAGAACAGTGATTCTGGACACTGCCAGCAGCACCTCTTGCCTGCAGCCAGGCTGGGAGAGCAGAGACAGCTCCCAGCGCAGCCCTCTGGCCCCGCAGCAAGGAAAACGTGTGTCATTTTCCAGAGGGCTGAGCCAGCATTAACCAGGTGGGGAATGTATGAGCCTCTCACTCTGAGCATGTGCTTGCTCAGGGTTCCCTTGTCTCAGCTGAGATCTTTCCTCAGTCTGAGCCTTGGCTGCCAGGCCCCTGCCCCCAGCTCAGTCCAGGGCTGTTCCCCCTCTGCTCTGTTCCCTGCAGCAGAACAAGGTGGGCAAAGGGAGAGGGGAGCTGTAGTTTGTCCTTCATTCCTGGGCTGGCATGGAAAGGCAGATGGGGTTTGTTCTGCTGGGTTTTGCTGCTGATCCACACCTTCCTTCCCCCAACCTGATGCCATGACCTCAAGCCCATTCTCTCTAACTTCAAGCACAAGCCACCTTAACCACAACCCGGAAATTCCTCTTCTCCCTGCCTCCTCTCTCTCAGCCCTTGACCACCATGAGAAACACTCATCCCTTTTTGGGGCTTGTCATCTGTGGGCTGTCTTAACCAGTGTTTTGAGCAAACTGCCCCTGTGCTGCCTCAGGCTGGGCTGTGCACAGCAGAAAATTGAGTAGGAGGTTTCTGGGGCAATCAGTGTGCACTGAGACCTCAAATGCTTCTCTGAAATCAGGCCCTGCTGTTGCCCCAGAGCATCTTTCTAACAGGGAGGCAGCAACCTCTCATCTGCCCAGCCCTGCCATCTCTGATCTAGGCTGCCATCCCTTTTCCCCTTAGCACCAGGAAAAGTCCAGTGCCTGACACTGAAACAGCAGTAGCTGCCAAGAGCCTCTCAGCTTCCCCTGAGTTACAGGATCCCTGCCTGCAGTCTCTCAGGAGGAGCTGTCAGCAAAAACAGCCCTATTTAACCAAAGCAGAGACAGCCTGGCTTTACATGGCCTCCCTCTGCCTTTCCCTGCTCCCCTGGAATCAGGAATTCTTTGGGAAAAGCCTCTCAGGGCAGCGCCGACTCCTGCGCTTCCCCCTGGATGTGAAGCTCAACCGCAGCAGCGTGCAGGGGTTCACGTAGCTCTGGGTCCTGCTCCAGATATTCCCTCCCCTCTTCCATGGATCTCCTGCAGGATTCACAGCCCAGCACCCAGGGGTGCTCCCTATCCCCAGAACGGTGCCCTCAGCACGGGATGAGCAGCGAAATCGCAGCTGGAGAATCTGGCAGTGGACGTGGAGCAGAGCCCTGTCCCCAGGCTGAGGACCAAGAATTCCTCTTTCCCATCCGACACGCCAAGGCTCTGAGCCCTGCCAAACCCCAGGGTTTGTTCCTGCCTTTGGCAAGCAAGGGATGGCAACAAAAGCATGTGCGAGGCAGAAGGAGTTCAGTGAAGGAGGGAAGTGGGTTTCTCTTGGGTCTCTGTGACCTTTTCTGGTTTGGAAAGAACAGAGATGTGCAGAGATGCTCACAATGCACAGCAAGGCTGTTTCCACTGCCCCAGCAGCAGAACAAACCTCGTGGCCTCCTTTCAGTCACAGGAAATTGGAGCCCAGAGCCACAGCCCAGCCTTTGGCTGCTGGGGTGGAACCAGAAATCCAGCTCCTGGGAGTTGGTGCCTTTGCTTGTTTGCAAGGAAAATTTATGTGCAGCCGTGGAACCTCACTATGGGCTCCTTGTCTTCCAGCCCTGGTTCTCTGGGATACAGCTCCTGCTGTGGGATGGGAACAATTTTTCTTGAGCTGGAAGCAGCTGAGCCAAGTTGTCTTGGAGTCCATGGACTGGGAGTTTTGTCAGCAATGCCCTTGGCCACGAGGATCCCACCTCTCTCCTTAGAGAAGCAAGCACAGAGAAGGAGCTGTTGGGGCAGGGCCAAGAGAAGGGCTGGGACTGAAGAGTCCAGTGACTCCAGTGATTTCTCTGTGTGCTTCCAGCCCTTACAGCTTTACCTCAGAGAGAAAAAGTGGTGCTGGCAGGAGGAAAGAAGAGGTAAATTTACCTTTGCAGGTAAATCAGGAATGTGCCTTGATCCTTCAAGAGCTGAGAATCAGGAGCAGGTTTATAGCAAAGACAGAAAAGCCAATTTGGCCAAAGGGATAATATTTCTGTTGGGAACCAGAGAACTATTGATTACTCAAGTAACCTCAACTATTTAACAAACAGCTACCTCAGCAGAAAGAAATTTCAGCCTGGCTTTAGGGAGAGGATTGAGGGGTCTCCAGGGTGGCCAGGCAACAGTGGGAATGTGTATTCCCACTCTCCTTGAGTCTCCTTGCTGCACTGCTGCCTGCTCCCAGTGGCACCAGATAAGGAGTGAAAACAAACACAAGGTTTGCCTGTGAGTGCCTCTAACAAAGGGAAGGGAAAACATTCACTGCAGTGGAGTCATGGCCAAGATAGGCTGTGAAATAGGAAGGATTAAAACGTCTCACAGGACCTGGCTCATCTCCCAGGGCCTTCTCTGGACACTGGCACAAAGGCAGCTCCTCCCGATGCTCTGGGTCTCTGCAGAGGCTCACAGATCCATAGCACTTGTCCCAGGAGGGAGCACGAGTTCCCAGTTGTTGTATTTCTGTGTTATTGTGTGCCTGGCAGTGACACCCTCGGTGAGGACTGAACAACACAGGTAACAGAGCATGGCTGTAGGGACAGGGTCACACCAAGGCACCAGGAGCATGTCAGAGCCTCAGCTGCTGCAGCTGATGTGCAGATGCCAGGCTTTG